TATACCACATTGGTCCAGTTCCTTAATTTTGTTGTTGATATCAAGGTCTAAATCTGTAGTTTTCATTAGTTTACCACCTATGAAAGTAATACTCATTTCTTTCGGGGACCCAACCAGAGACCTAAGGTCAGAAATGGCATCCTAATATTTTCTACTGAGCATTTTTTGAGAAAAAAAAGCCCTAAGATGACACATATTTTACATAGATAAAGCCCCACGTAAGGTGCGAGCTTTACCTGTGAGTACAATTTTTTCTATTTCTTTAAGGCTTAGGCCATCAGGAATCCCTTCAATGAGTCTATTGAAACATTTTCAAATCAATCCGAGTGCTCCAACTACAACTGGAATTACTGATGTCCTCATGTGCCCCATTTTTGAGATTTCCACTTCAAGATCCTTGTATTTTGATAGTTTTTTTGAAGATCTTCAAAGATACATTACAGTCTGCAGGAACTGCCATGTCAATAAGAGGCACATTTTTTTTTTTTTTTTAGACTTTGATCATGATGTCTGGGCAATTCACTTTGATTCTTCTATGTGTATTGTAAAGTCCCATAAAATTGTTACAAGTCCTTTCTTTGTAACTGGGTTTGGGTGGGGTTCATACCAATTTCATGCTGGATTTTTTGTATCCCAATCATTCACCATAAACATTTTTGCCGTAGGAAAACTCACCTCAGGAATTTTCGCTGTAGGAAAATTTGCCATATAGGATTTTTGCTGTAAGACAATTTCACTGCATTTTTTTCCGATACCCTTATCTTGAATGTCTGTTTTGGAATAATGTTCAATTTAATATGCAAAGTACCTTGTTATCGAGTATATATGGATGTCTTTTTTACAGGGTCAAACATCATTCTTTGATCAGATATTTTATATTGAATTTGGTTTATGTATTCAAGTCGTAAGTTTGTTTGAAATAATATATATATATATATATATATATATATATATATATATATTTCATCCACTGGATAGATTGTTCTAGTTCCACATGCCATGTCTCTTCCAGATGTCTCAGTTACCTCCATTTAAATCAACTCTCCAAGTTTCAGTTCACCACTGCAGTAGCCGGGTACTGAACTCACAACTCTTTGTGTCAAGTCACTGGATCCAGCCAACGCTTTTATCCACTGGGCTATATATCCTTGAGGACTAAGAGTTGTGGGTTCCATACCTGGCTACTGCAGTGGTGAACAAAAACTTGGAGAGTTGAGTTAAAGGGGGATGACTGAGATATCCAGAAGAGGCATGGCACGTGGAACTAGAACAATCTACCCAATGGACAAAATAAAAGGTTCAGTTCGAAATTCTAATCACCTGAAGAAGGCCAGAGTGTACAACAGCTGAAACATTGGGAATATGGCAACAAAGATGAGGACAACAGTCTGTACAATGTAAATAATTACAATACCTCATCGCAGAAATAAAGACAGAAATCTTTTTCTTATTTATCTTTTTGTTTCTATTATCATTATTAAAGTAACATTTGATGACAAACTGTTTATTCCGACATCCGGTGTAAATTATATATCTATGTCTATGCATGTATCTTTCTATGTGCGTACCTCTGATTGTCAATCCTTGTCATGGTAAAGGAGATAGCATGGTCCAATGACTCTGAGAGCGATGGCATCAGGAGTTCTAAATTCCTGGTAGTGCCCCCCCCATCACCACCATTTTGGCAAGGTCAAAGATGAGGCCCCAGACTAAGCGTGACCAACCCCAAAGACTCCAACGGTGGAACAAGTGGATGATGATCACAATAGATGGACAAGCAACAGAAGGCACCACTCAAAATTATATCCAAGTCAGCGTCAGTCTGTTGCAGTTCCATAACTGGATTTTGCATGTGTCATTCATGTTCCGCAGAGGAAGGTCATGAAATTATAAAAGTTGGTCACTTCCTGGAAAGTTGAGGTCCACCTTAAACAAATTCATGCCATCAGTAATTTCTTCTATTCTGATTTTCTTTCACCTTCAATCAACTCTTCCAAAGCCAAACGGTGATAGAGAATGGTTGACAGAAGCAGGTTTTGATGGAACTGGAAGCTTGTAGTCCTGAATCTGCACATTGACGGTAAATATAGTCATCAACACCATCATCATAAAGGAAAAGATCAACAAAGAAATTAAATTCTTGGATATATAATAAAACTGACAATAATTATTTCATATTATATTTTACTTATTTATTTTTTTTAAAGCATTTTGGGTTAGTTCCATCCTTGATTATGTGATAGTGATAGGATCTGGTTGTGAGGCATTAGTCCTGAGCTGCAATAAATTGGCTTTTTGTCTCAGTTTTCAACCCAGTGCTCCTCAGCCACTGATGTATTTTCTGTTGTTTCACATCTTTTTTTCTTTTTTTTTTTTTTAAGCATTTCACCCCAAGCAAGGCAGGAAGCCACTAGCATGCAAGGAGTTATAGAGGATTTGGAGTGAGATCAGATAGGAGTGATAGAGGAAAGGATGAGAAGGATAGTGGATAGATCAAGGCAACTGGAGATGTCAATTGACTTTACATTTGAATAGTTGGAGATTATAGCTAACAGGGAAACAGGAAAGGGGAACAGAGTTCCACAGGCGAGAGGTGTGAGACATGAATCTACTGGAGTAGAAGAGACGGCTATATTTAACAGTTTCAGCAGTGAAAGGGTGAGAGCAGGATGCCAGCCTTGTAGGACGCTTGAATTCATGAAGTCTAGGAACCAGTGATAGCAGCTCATCGGAGCAATTACCATGAAAGTATTTGTAAAAAAGACAGAGAGAGGTGACATCACGTCTGTGAGAGAGCGACTGCAGACGAGATACCCAGATCAGGGCCAATTGCATTGCATATCTGTCTCTAGATCTTATCAAGAACCCTGAGGCAAACAGAAGGGGCTCCAGACCATATATGGCAGCAATACTCCATGCAAGTGCAAATGGTTGATTTATTTATTTTATTGACAATCTTCAAATTTTGAAGACTTTCATTAATTTAATTATTCTTGTTTGTCATCAGGTAAGAATTTTTAGCAATGTTTACTCTTTGTACCCAACAAAAAAAAAATACTGTGTGTTAAAAGAATGGTTATTCCTTTGACACTGCTATTATTTTGTACTACCTTCTCTCCCTCGGCAATGTTTATTTCTCAGATTATAAAAATTTGTGAACTAAATGCAATGTAACATTTATTATTTTGCATATATAAAGATTTATTATTTACCATTTTTATAAGGGAATCTCTGCTGGACAATTTCAGATGTTAAATAGGTTGCTTTGTTTTTTAATTAAGGAATATGACCTTTCTGCCATCATCCAATGAAATTCTTCCACATGAATATATATTATTCCATTCTATTTTCCATCCTCTCAAACACTTTTCAAATATTTAAAATTCTGTACTTGTTTGAATTTTGACATCTCCAATTCATAGTATGTATCTTGGGCTTCTTCTCTTGCCATCAAAAAAGGATTACACCCCCATAATTAACACTGGCAAGATCTAACCAAAATGGTCTCTGAGCAGGTTGTTGGGTAAATCACCTTCTCACTTGTAGAGGCAGTTGTAGCAAAAACCTGGCTTCTCTCCCAGGATCAAGATCGACGGGGTCTAATTAGGAATGTTTCTCTATAAGCTTTTGAGCAAACCAATCTCCAATAACTATCTTATATAGGCAGTATCAGACCTCAGACAAATATTTATCTTATTTATTTTGACCAACCACTTGACCACTGCCAAATCTCAGTCTACTGTCATTTTGTCCATTTCCTATGTCCCCCCACTTTTGTCCATTTTCTATGTCCACCACCTTTTGGCCATTTTCTAAGTACCCCCTTTTGGCCATTTTCTAACCTCCCACCTTTTGTCCATTTCCTATTTCCCCTCTTATGTCCATTTCCTATGCCTCCCTTATGTCCATTTCTATGCCCCCCCTTTTTGTCCATTTCCTATGTTTCTCCTTTTATCCATTTCCTATATTCCTCCTTTTGTCCATTTCCTATGCCCCCCACTTATGTCAATTTCCTATGTCCCTCCCTTTTGTCCATTTCCTATGCTCCCCCTTTTGTCTATTTCCTATGTCCCCCCTATATCCATTTCCTATGCCTCCCTTATGTCCATTTCTATGTCCCCCTTTTGTCCATTTCCTATGCCCCCCACTTATGTCAATTTCCTATGTCGCTCCCTTTTGTCCATTTCCTATGCTCCCCCTTTTGTCCATTTCCTATGTCCCCCCACTTATGTCAATTTCCTATGTCACCCCACATGTCAATTTCCTATGTCCCTCCCTTTTGTCCATTTCCTATGCTCCCCCTTTTGTCCATTTCCTATGTCCCCCTATATCCATTTCCTATGCCCCACTTATGTCCATTTCCTATGTCCCCCCACTTATGTCAATTTCCTATGCCCGCCTTTTGTCCATTTCCTATGTCCCCCCACTTATGTCAATTTCCTATGTCCCCCCACTTATGTCAATTTCCTATGTCACCCCACTTATGTTCATTTCCTATGTCGCTCCCTTTTGTCCATTTCCTATGTCCCTCTCTTATGTCCATTTCCTATGTCCCCCTATATCCATTTCCTATGCCCCACTTATGTCCATTTCCTATGCCCCCCTTTTGTCCATTTCCTATGTCTTCCCACTAATGTCAATTTTCTATGTCACCCCACTTATGTCAATTTTCTATGTCACCCCACGTTTGTCCATTTCCTATGTCCCCCCCTTATGTCAATTTCCTATGTCCCCCCTATTGTCCGTTTCCTATCTCCCCTCCCCACCACTTTTGTCTCAATGCTTCATTTTATTAATTGATCTGCAATATGCTCCCACTGCTCATCTTCATCTCTTCCTTCTATGGCTTTTGAATCAGCCAAATTATTGATTACATTGAATCACTTACCAAGCAAGGTCTTGTTTCCAGCACTGATTTAAGATTCTGCTTATTCCCCCGTCAGGTCACATGTTGATCTACCCCCACCCTGCTCCCCATTGACTGGTATATCAATATTGATATGCCACTCAGATGTATACATTATCTATTTATTGCAGTATCTATCTATATATCTATCTGTTCATATCTATCTATCTATCTATCTATCTATCTATCTATCTATCTATCTCTTTCGCTTTCTACTAATGTCTATGTTAATTTTGTTAGTATATTGGTGAATCTAATTCTCACTCTTTGTATCTATCTTTCAAACTCAATCTGTATCTGTCCATTTGTCTTTCTCAATCTGCATATATCTTATTTATATCTATCTATCTATCTATTTATCTATCATCTTTGTATTTATCTATCTCAGTTTCTATCTATCTATCTATCTATCTATCTATCATCTTTGTATTTATCTATCTCAGTTTCTATCTATCTATCTATCTATCTATCTATCTATCTATCTCTATATATATATATATGTTTATTATATGTTTACCAAGAATCCCTTTTCCAGAAATCAGACTTGGGGAAGAATTTTTCAGAACCAAATGTATATATTTATTTCAGTTTGTTAATCACTCACTTTCTCTCTGCATATATATGTAAACGTGTTTGATCCTCACAATTCAGGAATAAAACATTTTTAAAGCAAGGAATCTTTGTGATAAGTACTCAATATCAATATATAGACCAATAATAGTAATAAATAAAATAAAATTTTCACTTATCATGTCTCAACTTTGAGTTATAGAGAGATTACATCAACTCTTCTGCAGATTTGATCGTGCATTTATTCAGAAGACTTGATTGTTAAATTTTATCCTAAACAGTTAATGTAATCTTTGTATATACAGGGTGCGATGGGTAAATTGTCAGCATTTTATATTTTTAATTTCATGCATGCACATTATTTGTTTTTGATTTTGTCAACTGCACAGTACAGTTGGGTCAGTTGGGCACCATCTGTGAGAAAAAGAACACTATGATACAAATCACTCTGCCAGAAATTTGAAAATGGCATGCTGTAATGCTTGGCATTTGCACCAGAAGCTCCAATACGAACATTTCAGAGTTTTGGGTGTCAATCTGAGGACAATGTAGCAGATTAAGAAAGAGTTAGATGAGTCTAATGGTGATTACGAAGGTACGGCATCTGAGAAAACTCACTCTGATTATTCTGATAAGAAAAGAACTCCCAAATTTGTTGGTGAGGGCTTCAGACTCAGCACAGAGGCATACATCAAGTGCCTTGATGAAGTACTGCTGCCCTGGGTCAAGAGGATGGCTGTTGGAAGACACTATGTCTGGCAACAGGACTCTGCACCATGCCACACAAGCAGGAGAACCCACACATGGCTGTCAGACAATTTCTGTGACCACATCACCTCCTTATATCTGGTCACGTAACCCCCTAGATTGCAACCCCCTTGATTATTATGCGTATGGCACAGTTGATCAAGAGACCAACTAAACTCCTTACAACACCAAAGATGAACTGAAGGCAAGGATTTTGGCAGCATTTATCAACTTAAACAAGGAGACAAGCCAGAAGAATTTCAGAAGATTCCAAAGTTATCTAGAGGATGTGGTTGAAGCCAATGGCAATTTTATTGATTTTCTTTTGTATTTTAAGATATTTTGTGTAATTTTGATAAATATATCTGTTAAAATGATATGTCAGTGCTATTTTCATTTTTGAGTTATTTAGACAACAATTTATCCATCAAAACCTGTATATAGGTTCTCCAGTACAACAAGTTAAGATTACAATTGAATCTGGCTTGACAATCCTTCATGTCAGGAGTGAAGCCTGAGTAGCTCTCGTTTTATTTCAGATTCTGTATTTTTGCTACATTTCTCTCTCTCTCTCTCTCTTTCTATATATATATATATATATATATATATATATATATATATATATATACACATTATCATGAAAATATATTTATATCAACATTACCAACTATTAACATATGTTTAAAAACTTCATTACATCACCATTTTTCTACAGACCCATCATTCATTATTCTAAATTATCTCTTCCGAATACATAAAAATCAATATATATATATATATATATATATATATATATATATATATATATATATACAAATATATTTCTGAAATGAGGTATTATGTACATTATTTACATTATTCGGACTATTGTCCTCATCTTTGTTGCCATATTAATTACAACATTTCAGCCTTTCAATATCTGTCTATATTTCTGAGATGAGGTATTATGTCCATTATTTACATTATTCGGACTATTGTCCTCATCTTTGTCAACATTTCAGCTGTTGTACACTCTGGCCTTCTTCAGTTGGTTTGAATGTTGAACTTAACCCTTTATTTCATTCACTGGGGTAGACTGTTCTAGTTCCACGTGCCATGTTTTTAACAGATGTCAGTTATCAGTTATCTACTGTTAATTTCCCTCTGAAAGTTCTCCACAGCCTTAACTGGGTATGCCACAAAAATCTCCTGAGCCGACCAAGCACAGAAATGAATACAATATGGGAACAAGTAATAAGGAGTGCCAGAGAAAAGCAATAATAACAACAAAAGTTGCAATATGAACTCTGGTAAAAACATGCAATGATAATAGCAAAAAATTGCAAAGACATTAGGTTTATAATACCTAGAAATTCACACACTCAAAGACACATGGCACAGTGGATAAAGGTGTTGGTTAGGACCCAAAGAGTGTGAGTTCAATACCCGGTTAAGGTAATGGAGAACTTTCAGAAGGAAATTAACAGGACATCCATTAAAAGCATGGCACGTGGAACTAGATCAGTCTACCCCAGTGAGTGAAATAAAGGGTTAAGTTCGACATTCCAACCACCTGAAGAAGGCTGGAGTGTACAATGGCTGAAACATTGTTATAAATATGGCAACAAAGATGAGAACAATTGCCTGAATAATGTAAATAATGTATATACAAATATACTTTAATGAAAAATCTAAGAAAATTTTCAAAACATCCTGCAGCGTCTCATAAAATTTTTCACACTTTAGCATCCAGAATGTTTTCTTACACTTATTTGAATGTTATCTGTTATTTCATTACATGTGACGCATATCCAATCAAAACATCCTACTGCATCTCACAAACTTTTATACCCTTTAGTGTCGAGAATGTTTGCCACACAAATATTATCAGTTACTTCAATTACACATGACACGTATCTAACCAATAAGAAATAACCAAACACAAGATACCATTAGTCTGCATCTCTTTGCTTTTTATCATTTTTATCTTGATCTCTGAAAACGAAAACTACTTTGATGGGTTATTCTCACTTCAGAAGCATTGCTTAATCTAACGTAATAAACCCTGCCTGTTGCAGCTCTGTCCTGTCTCTTCAGTGGTTCTGGCCGAAAAGTAAACCACCCGGTCCTCCTCTGGTGAACTGAAGGAACCACCACTATCCGCCATGTTGTGAATTTTTGATCCGAACAGCAGTATTTTGATCCCTCAAAACGATCTGGAGGTAGAATGAATTAAATGGCTGGGTATTATGCTGAAAGGAACTCACTATTCATGCAAAAAAAAGTTTCTTGTCGTAGCTGCAAAGACATGAAAAAGAAAAAATAAGGAACTATTTCGGTTCCTGTACAAAGAGCCCTTTTTAGGCCACCGTTTTTATGTCACTACCAAAGAATTTACACGAGTACAAAATGTTGTAATGAGGTTCACTTGTTTGTGGTCGAAAATGACAGAGAGAGAGAGTAGGAAAATTTCTGTCTAAACAATTTCGGCTGATCTAAGGAATTTGTGGATCTTCGTCTGCACCCTATGATATAGCAGTCTGCTTTCTCACAGCTTTGTTGACGAAGTCATCTGGATTTGTACAGGTTCTATTTCTATCTCTTGGTTCGGATCCGTCTTCTTGACGCAAGACATCCAACAGACCAGACCAGCAAATTCCAACAAGCCGTCTGTTCCACGTTCTGCCACGTTCCGATCTGCAATCTCTAGCGTGCAGGCAGATTATATAGAGAGAGGTGAAGCTAAACCATCTTTAGGCACTGCCCCCAAATTTTAATATGCAAATCGCCTTTGACCACCATGCATGCTTTTCTGGACCCGAAACTCAGCGGGAACCCAGTTTTCAACAGATAGTAAAATCGGATTCGGACCTCCTGCTGGGTCCTCCGCAGACAATGTCCACTTAAGTTTTGCCAAAACCACTTATCCCGTCTGGCTGAATTCCACCATTCAGACCACCCAAAAGTCCAATTCGCCTTTACTTTAACGAATCCGTCTCTTAATCACTCTGGAATTATTACATTTAATTAACTAATAACTCAACCCCAGAAACAATTATTAAGAGAAAAAACAAGAGAAAGAAAATAAAGTTATTTCTGGAATTACTCCGGAATCCATTCTACCCAAGTAATTAGCACCTTCATCCTAATTCTTTAGCACTGTTGATTACTAAATCCACCTCGGGGTGGGGTGGGGATTCTCTCTCTCTATGTCACATAATAACTGGTGCTTCAAAAAGACCCTAACAATAATTTTACAGATAAAAGTCCTACTATCCATCATTCCTTTCATACTCTTCCTAAAGGTTTTTATGCAGAAGTGAATATAACAAACCCAACTGGAATTCAAACTCAGCATTCCAATTTCTCATTCCAAGCCATTATGATGTGTTATTCTAACTTCAGAATAATAAGTGCTTCAAAAAGACTCTAAGAAATCTGATTGTAAGTATCCCTTCATATATTTGATTCACTTGCAGGCAGGAGCCTCACTAACCAGTCAATTTTGAATCTGAAAGCAGTCTTAAAAAGAATCCCTTAAAATCTATCTTTCTGAATGCTTTCTGCCAATGTTCTGTTTCGTTTCTCATTTTAATGATTTCTCTTAGTTTTATCTTTTAATCTTTTTTTTTTCTTGTATTGGAGAAGAAGCAAATGCGATTCCTGTTTTAGTCTTTGAGCTTCTTTGCTAATTTTTTTTCTTTATCTTTGGAATTTATATTTGTTGATAGGATTTTATTTTTGTTTCATGCCAGTCATGAGATTAATTTGGGAAAGACGGCATTTTTCTTAAGTAGTTCAACATTTAATCTGTCCCTGTGTTCCTCATGTCAGTTTAAGTATAAACATGTTGATAAAGGAATTATTACAAAATGGGTTGTGACTTCCTTTTCATTCTTTTTCACATTTAATCCACAGCTTGAAATGAAGAAATTGCTTAAATAAAAAATGGAATATCAAATGATCTTACATGGAAAGAAGTGTAGATGATCTTACTATAAATAAAATACAGCAAAATATTGTGATAGGAAAAACATTGAAAAGGATTTTACTCTTGGGAAGACATTGTAAATGATTTTACACTTGATAAAGCATTGAAAATGTTTTCTAATATGGGGAAATCATTGAAAATGAATTTACTCACTGGAAGGCATTGAAAGTGATTTTTCACTTGGGAAGGCATTGAAAATGATTTTACTCATGGGAATGCATTAAAAATGACTTTACACTTGGGAAGGCATTAAAAATAATTTTATTCATGGGAAGGCATTAAAAGTGATTTTATTCATGGGAAGGCATTAAAAATGATTTTATTCATGGGAAGGCATTAAAAGTGATTTT